CTCTCTCTCTCTCTCTCTCTCTCTCTCTCTCTCTCTCTCTCTCTCTCTCTCTCTCTCTCTCTCTCTCTCGTCTATTTTATTGATATTTCGGTGCTCGACTGGAAAGCCAGTCGAGAGTCAAAGTAAACTACAAATTTCAGACTCGATCCGTGTTTCAGGAGCAGAGCCGCGGCTGAATCCTCGGTGACGTTGCATCTCGCGGAGGAGAGAGAAAGAGAGAGAGAAGAGGCTGGAAGGAGCGGACTGTGACTTGGCGTCGTATTGCACGCATTACGTATTGCGGCCCAATTTGAATAATGTTATGCGCTACTGTGCACGCAAACTTGACAATCATCCGTATTACGACTCGCGCGAGCCAGTCGGACAACATGGTATCACCCGCGGGTCGCGCCGCAGGATCAGCAATCGACTCGCGCAAGGACACTGCTAGTCAGCCTCGTGACGATCGTGAATTGTAGCACGAGCTGGCGTCGACTAACGTTATCGTCTCGTCTGATTTAGATCCGTTTGCATCGCGATTAATTGTACCGCCGTTACAGGTCTCGTGGAGAGCAGAACGGGCTGTGAGGCGGAAGAGCGGTCGGAGCGCAAATACGTAGGCAGCCGCGACGAAGGAGTCCCCGGGACAACGCGGACGTGTCCGAGAGCGCGTCTCGCCGCGCTCTCGCGAAATGGAAACAAATGGGGTCCGGCGAGCGGGCCGCGCGCGCTCGGCATGTAAACAAACGCCGAGCCGTCGGGCGGATCGATGTTAAACGCCTGGAGTAACAGCTGTGCGCCGCGCCGCGAGCTGGCGAAACGAACAAAGAACGAGCGAGGGCGACTCGGAGAGGAGCGAGAGAGAGAGAGAGAGAGAGAGAGAGTGAGACCCGCCAGCGGACGACGAGGCGCGGGGGGACAATGACGTACCGTAGGAGAAGCGAGAGGGTTTTGTTGTTGGCGCACTCGAGGATCTTCTTCTTTTCCCAGCCCTCGACCGTCTTCACCCATTCCTCGCCCGGGCTGCGCCAGTCCTTGGATATGAACGGCATCCTGGGCCCGGGGGCGGGCGCGCGCGCGCGCGCGCGCTATGCCGACGCTGGCCGACGGCGGCAACGGGAGCGACCACTCGCAACACCGAGAGACGGCGCAGGGCGCAACCTCGCCGTGTCCGCGGACGCCGAGTGTGTGGTGTGCGCGTCCGCTGCGCCTCGCGGAACGACTCGCTCGCTCTCGCGCTCTCCGTGCCCCGTGCCTCCGCGCCGCGCCGCGCGCCGTGCGCGCATGGCTTTGTTTCAGTGACGTCACCGCGCATCAGCTGTGTGAGGCGAGCGCGCGGCGCGGCGCGGCGCGGCGCGCGCGCGCCACCGCCGCGGCGCCCGGACTCCTCTCTTCCGGGTCGGGCGCGTCGCGCGCGTCCGCGACGCTTCGCGTCTACGACGAATTGACTTTTCCTACCGACCAAGCGATCCGGGCGAGACTCGCGGGGGAGGAAGCTGGAGTTGTCGCCGACGGCGAATCCGGAGTCGAGACGTGGCGCGCTCGACTCGAGCGGACTTTACCTCGGTCGCGCGTGGAAGCACGTGACGCCTGACGCTAATGACTCTCCCTGATGCACGGTGTACCGATCTGTTAGTATCAATTATTCCTAATGTCTGCGATTGTCTCAACGTTTGCTCGTCTCGTTTTGCAGAGCGCACGGAAGATAAAATGCGCCGCGTCACGTCGACTCCCGACGCCGCGCGTCCTGCATTCGAATGTCGTCTGTTACCAGCAGCGGGAATGTAACGCCGACTGGTCTCGAGAGCGGCGAGCGTGTTCTCCTACCTACAGGGTGTCGAGGAAAATCGGAGCGACGCGGTCGGGCACGCGATTTACCAGGCAAATTGGACACCCCGACCTTTTTTATTTCCGACCGTAAAGACGCGACTCGACGAGCTTCTCAAGAGCCGAACCGATCGCTCGAGACACTCCGCTGGTCGCGAACTTTTCAATTTAAACGCGCACGCGGTCGGCTTGCACTTTCGTCGGCTCGCACTTCGCTTCGTGGAACGGATCGGTTTCGCTCGCCCGGGAGGCTCGCGTCGCTCTCGTATCTCGTCGAATTCTTTCTTCCTTTCTAACGAATTTTTTCTTCCCCGCAGAATTCAAGTCCGGGAGCCGTCACTCGGGATATCCTGCCTCGTCGCCGGAGCCTCGTTGGAGAGGAGGAGGAGGAGGAGGAGGTGGAGGAGAAGGGGACAGGGCCTGAATCTGCGTCTCTCCGCTCGTCGCTGGATCTCCTGGGCGCGCGCATGACGTGGCGGGCGTGCGGAGTGTCACGGACGCTGACAAGTGGACGCGCGGCTCCGCGGGCCGAGCAGTCTCAATCGCTCCGCGCCGCAAGCGAATCGCCTCCCTTCGGGCGCGCGACATGCGCCGCGAATCGCTCTGATTGCCACGCAGGGACGCGACGGCCGAGTCGGCTCATCCGCCTGAATTGAAGAGGAGGTACGTGCACACAAGCTGCCTCGACCCTCCCCGGCGCCCCGCGCGTTTCGCAACCGCGTGCAAACGCGCTTATTTACTACGTTGCGTACCGCACGGCACGTGCTCTCACGCAACTCTCTCTCTCTCCCTCCCTCCCTCCCTCCCTGTACGCCTCCCTCCCTTGCTCTCACTCTCACTCTTTCTTTCTCACGATATTCTGTCCTTGTGCTGCCCAGGATATGGACCCAGGTATTTACTCGACTGGATCACGCGACCCGTTTTCGACGAGGCGGGCAGGAATTAGGGTGTCCCTCGGGTTTTACCGTAGGAAAAACGGAGTTTCTCGCACGTGTGACGTCACCCGCGAGCTATGTGGATGTGCTGCAGTACACGCTTTCGTTATCGGCACCGTCGTTGTAGTGTTTACATAAAAAATTTCTAGGCGCAGTCCCCACTTCGAACGCGTCTCTCGCACTCTCGCGCTCTGCACGTGCGATTTTTTATCGTGACAAAACGTGGAGGCGCGACGCGAGGCGATAGAATTTGCACGCACATATGCTGCACCGCCCCGAATTGCGTGCATTTTATAATGGTGTAATTGTCACGTCGACTACGATCGTGAAGATGATCGTACCGCAGTTTTAGAGTGAAACGAACGAGGGAGAAAGATGGGATTTTATCTTTTTCATACGCGCAGAGGCGATATTGTTGTATGAATCACGAGTCTGAAATGTCTCTGTGAGCTTATACTTTTCCTGACGTTTCGAGCGTCGAGATTGCGTCGTTATTGTAAAGCTCGCAGAAGAAAGACGTCCCGTGTCCGCCTCTCAGTTTTATACCTCGATGTTACCTCGCACAACGGAAATCTTAAATGTTCGTTGCACATTGACCCTTCCATTTCATAGACGAGTCCGCCGGTGCTCGAGAAGATCGCAGTTTAGCACTCGGTCCCTGACGGTGGCACACGAATCATCCGTTTAATTCGGCTTTCGTTAATCTTTACTTTGCCAGCATGTGCATGAGTTTATTGGTTGACGCACGTGCTTGATCGACGCCTTGTATCTTTTGCTTAGAGAATGTGGGCAAGGAGACCATACTAAAAGTGACAGACTGGCTGCGCGGGATTTGGGAGATGCGACGGCGCGCCAGCGGACCAGTTCAACAATGGATCGACTCCATCCCGTCGTCCGCGAGGTCGGATGTGGCCACTGCGAGCGAGTGTCAAGAGCGTAGCCACGAGCGCAAACCGTCAACACCAACCGAGCCTAAGGACATTCCATTTTCTAAGGACTTGAAGCCTCCAAGCATGACCGTATCGGCGCCTATCAATGTTCCTAATTCTCCAGCGATGAATACACCGGTGTTACCGAGGTACTGAGGAGTGTTCGCGATCGACGGGCCAGTCGCCAACGACCGATGTTGAATACCCGTGTGAATGTTTCAGCTCGCTTCCCCAGCAGAGACTGGCGCGAGACGCGAGCTTTCAGTCGGACAGCAGCCACTGCAGCAGCGTCGAGAGCTTGTTGGAGCTGCGAAAGGCGGACCCGGCTGCGATACTGCTCGACCTTGGCTTCGGCGGTTCCTCGGCCAGTCCGCAGGAGAACGATACAATTTCTCGCATTCCTAGAAGGTTCCTACAGCCGTCGTCGTTACGAGGCATCGCCATAGACGAGTTTATTAAGCAGCAACAGGAGACCACCGAATCTTTTGACTCGGTGTCTTTAGGATATAGAGGCCTAATGGGTAAAATTGATTTTTCAGTAGCAATAATTGTAATAACGATTGCACCATTCAGTAAGATTCAACTTCCTCTCGTGGACGCAAACACGTCAGTATTAGAATCTACGTGTGAAAAACAATCTATAAGAATCTACAAGAATCAAAGAATCTTCTGTGACTTGTATCTTTAGTAGTATATTCACAAATGAATCGATGGGCAGCGTTCTCGTGAAGTTTTCACGAGTATTAAATCTATATTTCTGGGTATCAGCCAATACTTGCAAACACTTTACCATACAGCATGATAATTTTGTAGGAAGCAATAGCGCGTTATGCGCGCCTACACGTGTCCGGCAGCGCGGAAACTCCGGATCGAGTAACTTTGTAAGTCTCGCGTGAGAACCTGTGATTAGGATCTGTTTCGTTACATCTTTAAAACTACTTTAATTGAACTTATCTAGAAACGCACAGCAGTTCTCCTTGGTCGTTAATATTATTTTTTATTTTAGCGAACATTTGCAGCTTCTTGTTTTTGCTTCTATTGGTTTTGAATTTGCGCGTCAATCGATACGCGATGTCTATGCTACTTTCATGTAGACATTTATAATTTTTTTTTCTATTATGCTGCGAAAATGTGATGCTTCTAAAGTCTTCAAACGCTCGATAACAATCTTATACGCACAAAAATATATTTTATCTGATTGTTGTAGATGTACGATTAGTTACGTGTTATATGAGTTTTAAATTAATGAATAATTCGCATGAATAATAATAAGGTGTGCAAGGGTGATGTGTTCTAATGCATTAAGAATACGAATATAAAGCGCGAATGTTTAACTATGGAGTCGTGACTTGTATGATAAAGTAGCATTTAGTTTTCTAAATTGTGTGCAATAATCTCCTTAAAAAATATCCAGTTATGACACAATAATAAGTAGAATTTGTGCACGTGTCTTATCGTTCCTGAGGTGTACATGTATATTTTTATTTTTATTTTATATCTTTTATGTGTCGCGTAGTTTTACGACACTTGCTATTATTGTCCATAATGAATGTATGGAAGATGTATCTTGTTCTCTTTTTTTGCATTTTTGAAAGGATCGCCATATGTAGCCCCATCGGAAATTGTGCAAAAGATTATGGAACGTTTGCGGGAGCACGACAGCCACGAACCTGATACCAGTTTGTATAATTGCGACCAGTACAGTTCGTCGCATCAAAACGGAAAACTCTCCGTGCTGTCTCCTGATAACAGGCAGTTCCTGGAGCAGCCGCGTTGCAAAAGCCCCGATATGCGCAACAAGCGCATGATCATAGGTAAATCTGGTGTAAATAATTTCGACGTTTATATAATTAATTTTCTTTCTCTACGTGAAATTGATAAAACGCTCTCTCTCTCTCTCTCTCTTACAGGGCAGAAATCATTTGCTTTCGGATGCGATGGAAATTTAATCGAGATATCTGCCAGTGACTCGAAACTTACGTGCGATACAGCAAATGATCACAACAGCTCATTGGATGCCAGTAAATCCATGGAATTAAAGCAATCGTCTCCGGAAGGAAGCGTAACGTTTGAACACCAATATCTTTCCAAGTATGACAAGAAGCTGGCGAAACAATTGTCGTTTGACGATACTGTCGAATTTTCCGAAACTGACCAATTATCAAAAGATGATCGAGAGATTCAAAGTAGCTTAAATATTGCTCAAAGTGGCGCGAATCTAGACGGTACGGAACAAGAATCAGATGTAACTTCGGATACAACTTCTAGAAAGCATGAATTTTCTGATACTCGAAGGGCTAGCGATGGTTCGTGTGACATTGAACGCTTAAAGAATAAAACATTATATGGGAGACGATTTAGCGATAGCGCAATGCGCATTGCTGAACGTCAAAGCAAGGAACACACGTTAATGCAAAAGAGAAAAAGTTTCAAAAGACAGTCTAGAGTATGTGATACAACCGCAATGCACTATTGCGATCTAAGTCCTATTAGATCTAGCATTCCGAGTATAGTAATAATAGAACCTATTGTAGATAACGAAGTATCGAATGATGTAACTGATAGTACACTATTAAATATGCCGAAATCCTTCGAGTCAACCGAGGAGAAAAGCGATCTGGAGTTAAAAGTAGACACGGAATCTTCGCTTAGTAAACCTAATTACTTGCCTTCGCCATCAAACGTTGGTGAGTCTATCGACAGATTAGAAACTACACAGGAGGATTCGGCGTCGAGCGATCATTCTTGTACGGAAGATAAACAAGCTTGTTGTTACAAAGGTAAAATATGTAAAGATTGTAAGCATGGCAAAAACTGTCCGGATTGTTGTTGCCAAGTTAACAAACGGAAATATCGGAAAAAGATGGAAAGGATCATGCAGGAAAATAAGAGATTGGAGGATATGCTAGCGAGAAGTAGGAGGGAGGTGGCAGAGATTCGCGATATGCTTAGCAGTGTGTTATCGGTCAGGATGGAACCGGGATTTTAGGCGGATTATTAAAACAGTTGCCGGTTTTGGTAAAACTGTCGTCTTGTGATACAGGAGAATGTGTGTATTAGAGAGAATTTTTAGAATACCTTGTAGAATTTTGGACTTCCTCTTTAACACTCTGAACTGATCTATTCTTCTATTCAGAAATCAAATATTTTCGAACTTCGTGTTTTATAAGACATTAACAAAAGATATTTCTACAACGTACGTATTTAAGAAGGTCTTTTAACATCTATTTTTATCCAAAACTATGAAAAGATACAGGAAATGATACACTTGATTATTTTTCTTAAATATTAATACAAATTCATGAAAATATTATAAAGTATCAATCTTTTTATACATTTGAATTTTATATGACTCGTGTATATTTTTACAGATACTTGACGCGAGTTATGAACTTAAAAATTTTATTACATTTTGATTTTAACATTAGCACACGGACCAAAAACAAGTGCAACAGACCTATCATAACAATATTTTGTTAATATTGGCATAGGGGTACATGATGATTAAGTTTGAATTATATGAAGTAAACTTACATCAATTTAAATATATAGATGGTATTTTGGGTCGAGAGAAGGTACTTTTGTAATTGATACTCGAGGTACTTTAGAACATTCTTTTACTGAATATTACGTCGTCTTGCTTAAACTTTTACATAAATTGTGTCGCACAAAATTTACATTTTCATAAATTTTATTTTAATTTAGTCACTCATGACAACTGACTTGATGTCTTGCACTATTTCAACTTTTCTCATCTTTTATCTCTTCTTATTTTCCAATCGTTACAGGGTTATGTTAAATCGTGCATACATTCCCGCTATCATATCTCCTGACATACTTGTTAAGTTTGAAATATTGAATTAATCCTTGTTACCTTGTAATTAAATTTGTTGATTGAATATCTCTAGCTCGTAACTGAAAAATAATACTATCATATGTCTTGTTCACGTTTTATAGAATTTTTCTGTATAAATTATTTAATATTTTTATACGTATAGTGTATATGCACAAAAGGAAGCACGTGCAAGTTGAGGAAGCGCAATCAGAGAGCGGTAATGAAAGTTTGATACTTTCGTCACTCTTTTTAACAATTATATTTACAGTAAGCTTGAGAAATGCTGGTCATTCCGTACTTTATACAGAAAGCACTTGAGATCTAGTCTTCTACAACTACTGTTTGTACGGTGATAAGATATTTAACTATTAATTCTTAATCCTCTGCCTTTTCCTTTTACCGCAATCAAGATAACGTGTTCCCAAGAAATTTCAAAGAAACAACTCGTGGTTTTGGGTATCAAATTACTGAGAATTAATGTATGCTGCCATAATTGGAGTACTTCTTGAATAATCGTATATTTCCACATATCACATTATAGATATAGACAATGTACATTTATTCAGCTTTAATCTAACAACGGGATCAGTAGTTAATATGCTATGAGAAATCTGCGATTTAATAAACCAAACGAAAGGAAGGGATGATCTGATACAAAACAAATAATGCGATATGCTTGTTCTGTTGAGATCAGCCAAGTGTGAATTATTTGATATTAATGGCGGGACGCTATACAAAAATACACGTCGGGAAGGAGGAGAAAATATATTTAAATACATTAAATTAATATATATATATTGTTACGAAATGTATATATAAGTCTGTCCATTTTTTACTTAATGCTTAAAATGCTAACATCAATTGGAAGTTTTTATTTGATATCACTAAATGCGGATTTAATTTTCCTTAAGTCATAACATCGTTGTTGAATAAAGGGAAACGTACTTTATTTTGTCATCATAATTGTGTTAATAAAATCATAAAAAAATACAAAATTATTTAAAAAAGAAAGATAATTCAATAGAAATCAAAAGCTTTGGGATGTTAACGTATACGTAATAAAGTGTCCACAGTAAACATCCACATTTGACATGATAAATCAGTCTATCTATGATATATTTTCCGATTCCTTACACAATATCAAATGATGAAATCCTACTAAGATACATATTACTTAAAGTACGCAGAAAATAATTATACAAACAGAATAGAAGCATTGTAGTTTTGTAGGTCATTAAGGTACAATGTACAATTGTGGGAGAACTCAATAAATATTTACCACAATTGAAGTTTGTATATTTTTTATGTGTATTCATCATAATTCGCATCTATCAAATTTATCAGCTAAACGCGCTGCTAAACGTGTCACCTTATAACACTTGGTAGAAACAAACTATATACTACAAACTATCCAAGTATCTATTTCAACCGTGTTCTTGCTTGACATAAATGATCGTGAGACCGTATTGATTCTTACAGATCGACGTGTAACGCAAGTTCGTGAGATCGAACTATTTTTAGTAGTAGGGACAAAATCGTCAATAATAATATAAGTTAACTTTGTACAACCGATCCCCTTTACAAGTTCGACAAATCATATGAATGCAGGTTTGTCAATTACTGGAAGTGTTTGCTAGGTTTTTGTTACATCTTATGATTAAACGACACACAAGAAATGGCCTAGCGTCGCCCGTAGCAGTTGTGGAAACCGTAAGAAATATTTTCTGCAGTTTCCGTTACATTTTTAATATCTTTTCTATGTTAATTAGCATTTTTTCTAGATTTCGATCTGACGGAACAAAGATATATCATATTTATGATCATATTATATTATGTTCGTATTATTATTATGTCATATCTATGATAAAATAATATACATTCACGTACAATTGAGTAATTCAATTTAATTCGATTTACGCAGGTTTTTCGTACATCCGTTTGTATCGAAATTCTTCCCCTTTTTGCTGTAACGCGCGAGTGTTACAGTTCAATTTATTTCTGACTAAGGGCGCGCTTGAAATGGCCACATAGGTTACAAGGCCAATGTTGCGTCTGTAAAATAGAGTTTAAATTACGAACAGACTAACAGCGACATCATTTTATAAACAAATCGAACACCAACATGCATCCTTTATGCTAGGTAACATTGAATTTCTGTCGAGGCGACGTAAAACGTTTTGTAAATCATCGGGTGTTATATTTACTGAACTTTGTAAATACGACGCATGCCTGCGAGTAGCTCTCTTGATAATTGAAGCTCACACGTATATTCTGTCAAAGATATCAATTATAGCTAAAGCTACCCCCAGTAATAAACTCAGAGCCCATGGTCCATCCAATCTTATATTTTAAATATGAACCTGCTACAGTACCATGTCACAAACTTCATTCGTGTGCACGTGTCACTGTGTGTCTCGTGAATAGTGTACATGTAGATGTGGGTGTTTCTTCCTTCTCGTTCCTTACAACGTATATTTCCTTAAGACGTATATAAACAAATAAGGGCAAACTCGATCTAATTTAATCTTCTTTATCATCCCTGAAATTAATAAAGAGAAATCTGTTAACATCAGCATTGCATTACACGTCGCAACATTCGAGACTGCGATGCAACTACGTACTTTACTTCTTGTGGTTGCGATGGATCAAAATGAAGTTCAACAATTGTCTCTTGTCTACTTTGCACTTTGAAGGACACCTGGACTGCTATGTAATTGTCTTTGTTACTTTGTTGCCATCCAGAGTACTGAAATAAAATGACAATTTCCATCAACTATTTGCATTCGCAAGTACAACTGTCCGATGTAGACTAATACAACATGAACCACAGGTCAGTTCGGCGAACGTTTCGACACATTATTTTTAATTGAAAACAATGCACTTACTGTCGTTGTGCTTTTGTACAGTACTTTTCCATCTTCCTCGAAAGGTAGAAACTTTTGGAGCAGCGCCTTCCCATCTATCCTCCACAAGGTTGGGTAAGTGCTCGATTCCACGTCGGACTTACCCTTACTCGATAAGTTGTCTTCCTTATTCTTATTAGATTCAAGGTCAGCTTTTGCAAGAACAAACGAACCGGACTGCAAGAAATACCAATGATTGTTACGGATCGTGAGAGCGTTACAGCCGATTGGCCACCGTTCGACGACTCACTGTGTATTCTTTCGGAGTCTCTCCCGACTCATTGTAACTGTTGTCATCGGAATCCTCATCTTCCTCATCCTCTTTGTCGTCGTCGTCCTTCTTAGAGCGCCTTTTTCTCTTTGACTTTTTTCCCGTATCAGAATCAGACTCCTCCTCGTCCTCCTCCTCCTCCTCCTCGAACTCGTCCTCCTCCTCCTCGTCCTCCTCCTCGGAGTGCTGTCGCTTTTTCGCCCCTCCTCTCGGCGGCCTTATTTTAGCGCCACCCTGTAAAAAGTCGTGAGCGACTAAGTGGTCTATCGCTTTCTCGCCGCGTACTCTTAATCGCACTCCGTGATCGTACTCCTCCGAGGGGGAAACCGCTGACCAAAGTCTTGTACACTAATGCCCAGTGGGCATTACTTCATCTTACTATCTTGTTTTATCTTTATGCCCAGTAATGCCGCAATTCTGCACACCACAATACCCCCAGCGGTTTTCCCCTCATACTTCTCTTATTAACGTACCGTGCACGTTTATATAATTAAAAAAATCTCCCGAATGACGTCCGTTCAGTATTTTTTCAGGGCTTGTGACCAATTCATCGGGTAATATTTTTGCAGTCCCGTCAACATTCCCCGGTTCGTTTACGTGACAGAAGCGACGCGTCTAACGATCAAAGGACAGCCCGAGAGGTAATACTTTCCGTTCGATATTTTGTTAGTGATCTCGATCAATTAATTTATCAAGCGTGCATCTCCATCGTTGGACAGAATTACTAACTTTTTGTCGTCTAACGTGGAAACAAAGATTGGGGACGGCGGATTCTGTATATTTAACGATAAATTTTTCTTCCAGCGATTGAAAGGTGGGCAGCAAGAATCAGGTGGCTTCACTTTACGAAAGTAAATATGTTATTATTGCTAAAAAAAAAAATCGGTACCTAGAGCGACAATGCCAGAAGCTGTAAGGTACTGCGATCTTTTTCAGTTTCCTCTTTCGGCGCTCGCGAAATTTACGATTACTAAATGGAGCCTTAGGCCCAGAAAATGAATGACCGGGCCGTCGATCGACCGAGCCAAACGGCGTCGAAGCGCGCCAGGAGGCGGACCGTAAAAAGTGCGTTTCCCTCGTGTTGTTTTTCCCCCGCCCCGAGGCGACCGGGGAAGTCGCGCGCGCTCGCCGTAGTAACGCGACGTCGCGTCGCGCTCGCTTCCGGCGGTTTGAATGAAATCGCCGACCGGCGGCGGCGCCACCGGGCGGCCGACCGGCCGCTCTCGCGCGCGACCGGCCGGCGACGATGGCCGCCGCGGGACGCGGTGGACCGAGCGGCGCCGGACGAGCGCGGGCGATCTCGAAAGATACGCCAGGACAGCGCGCCCGGGCCGTCGTGCGGGAGGCTGCGCCGCGGCGGCCTCGCGGCCGCGCTCCGCGCCGGGCATCTTGTCCCGAGGGCGCGCTCCTTCCTCGCGGCGGGGGCGAACCTCGCGTCGCCCCGCCGACGCCTCGCTCCGTCACGGTCGCGGGGCACGGACACCCGTCTCTCTTCTCTCTCTCTTTTTTTTTCCGCCACCTCGTCCCGATTCCGCGCCGCGCGTCCGACCTGAGCGGGGAGGAGGGCAAGGCGACTTCGCGGGGAATATCCTCGTCGCTGGCGCGTAGGAGCCGCGGACGAAATGTCCGCCGCCGCCGCCGTCGATTATCGGCGGCGCGAGTCGCGTCTCTCTCGCTCTCGTTGCGGGACAGGCGCCAACGACGCGGATCGGAGTATCGGCCGTCCGCGGGAACGTGACGCGGGCGTCGACGAGGAAAGGGGGAGGGGGGGGGGAAGAGTCGCGTAAATTTACCTCTGGCCCGGCCTCCGGGGTCCATTCCTCCTCGGAGGCACCCTCGACCTCCGGATAGTCCGGATCGTCCACCTCGTAATCGTCCTCGTCCGAGTAGTCCTTGATCTTCTTCATGCTGCCCTTGCGCGAAATGTTTGCCGGTTTTCCGTGACACCGTACCGCGGGAAGAGGCGTCGTTTAACGCGGGCGACACGCGCTGACGAGGACGGCGAGGAGCCCGACGTGCACACGGAATATCGCAAACAATATGGCGGTCGGTAAGGGAGGAGGGAGGAGGAAGGCTCCCTTTATTATCGCGAAGACCGGCGGACGGCGTTGGCGCCGCGGCTGCGGAAACCGTCTCCCGATGGCAGCACCGTTCCCGTTCGCCGCGTCTCGTCCCCGCGGGAAGACAAACGTGAGATTCGGGTGTCGCGAGAGAACTGTTTAGGCGACGCCGGGCCGGCAGGACGGTTTATCTATTCGACTCCGGCGTCTCGGCCGTGCGGATTGTGGTCCTTTTCGAGGAATCTGGTAATCCACAAGTTTTCTCAGAGCTTTCACGCGCGTCCGACGAACGACACGAGGTGTTTTTTTCCGTAGCCCGATTTGCCGTAATTGAAAACTCCGGGCCGGAGCGAAATGGCCGTCTCTTGGACTCTGGCTCTTAAGACAACGTTTTAGGATGTAAATCTTCGGCCCGGTCTACAACGAGTTGTTCGTCGTTAGAAGTCGGAACTGTATGTTGATCGTTTTCCTCTCTGGGTGGAAGTAGGAGGACCGACATATAGTTCTGACTTCTGACCGACGACTAACAACTCGTTGCAGACCGGGCCTTTGCCTCGAAGTAACGCGCAATATAATCGTCTTGTGACTTGGGGCCTGAGCAGAATAGCTGTCTTGTACTCAAGACGTAAGACAGTTATTGTGCGTTGCCTCAAGACAGAGGCTTAAAAGGCTTAAAACATATGAATAATTAAATAAGGGTCATATCGACGGTAACTGGCACAATATATTTCAAATGATACACGACGTTTCTTAAAACATAAAACTTTGTCTTAAGAGTTTGTCTTAAGACAGCCATTCTGCTCAGACACTCACACGTACGTTCTAAGATTTTAGACCTGGTCCACAACGGGTTGTTAGTCAGAAGTCGGAGCTGTATGTCGACTCTTTTCTTTTCTAGGCGGAAGGAAAAGGAGCCAGACAGCCAAGCCTGTGGAGGACAGACTTCAGGAAACTCTGTTTCCAAATTTTGCCGACGGAAAGACTACAGATTTGGCTCGCAGGCTCTGATATATTACACGATGTTGGCAGCATATCAACGAAAATGTAACAAAGCTTGATAACGTATTTAGGCAGCAGATTGGCGGCAGAAATGGGGCAGTTCCTGCTCACGCAACATGGCGACGGATTGCAGCCGAAACCGAGCAGAATCTGCTGATACAATTTGTCGGCAGACATTGGTAACAAAACGGAGCAAACTCTGTCGTTTAGTAGCGTAACGTTCCCACTAGATTGACACTCGAAAGAAGAAAACCGCACGCGGTATTAACACATCCACGCGAGATTCTTTGGTCATCTTTTTGAAGTTCTGAAATGAGCTTCCTTGCACTCTCGTCTATGAGTGCGCAGAAATCTTAAAGGACTACTTGCTTATTTTTATCTCTGTAATGAAAGGAACAAACACGGTAAAAGATATAAATTAAACGGCAGATCCTGCTCGGTTTCTGCCGACGATCTGCTGTCCGAGCAGGTCGGCAAACTCTGGCGGCAGAACGCGGGCTGAGTCTGCGGACGCAGATGATGTCGATCTGCTGAAATGTTCCGATGAAATCTGTTGCCAGTCTGCCTACAATCTGCTATCATTTTGCTTGCGGGGGATCGACATTTAGTTTTGACTTCTGACTAACGGCTAACAGCTCATTGTGAGGGCCTGAGCAGAATGGCTGTCTCGTACTCTCAAGACACAAGGCCGTAATTGTGCGTTACCTCAAGACAAAGACTTAAAACACAAAATATTGTGAGAGTATAAGACAGCCGTTCTGTTCAAGCCCTTAGAGCTTGAGCAGAAAGATTATTGTAAGACTCGAGTTGGTCAAGAATTGCCGTCGACGCATGTCGCATCCGTTGTCTCGCGAGGCGACACACACGACAGTTCTTTGTGCGTTGACCCCCGACACTTTACGTCTTACAACGGAATCGTAAACAGCTACGACGATCTGTCTGCTCTCAGGCCCTTAATTGTAAAACTATCCCCATAACTCGAAGCCCCACGTGGTACATGCAGTCTTGTATTTCAGGTGTGAACCTGCTGCTGCTAGGTGAGCTTCATCTACGTTTGGCTGATGGTAGAAAAAGAAGAAGCCGCAAACGCCTAAGTCCGCCTTAGTCGTAGACTAAGACCCGGCTTCACCAAACGTCGCTTAACTTTAATCTCAGTTTAATTCACGTTTGTCTCTTTCTAGAGTAACAGTTGGAAAGGGACAAAGAAGTGAAGCCCGAGCTCGCAAGTAAGTAAACTGAAATTTCAAAGGTCCAGTTATAACTAAAGCCCACAACGATAAACTTGCAGAGCTCTTCGTGGTTCAATCTTATGTTTCAAACCTGCTATACCATTTCGTAAATCTCACGAGTTCGTCTTTAAATAACCGAACGTCCGTTGCTTACGAGAAGAAAATATCACGACAACCGTTAAACGGAGCATGACGTTGAATCATTTGAACCAAAAAAAATAATATACAGATATATATTTTTTAACTGATGGTGTAAACTTGCAAGTCGCACGGGGCCGTAGAGAGTTAACGGGCGACATACCTGACGCGGTGATTGTTAATAATTTTTCGGACTCGCGCAGGGTCGGATCGATACGGGGATTGACGCGTGCGCCCGACGCCGCGCGTCGGGACGCCGTTCCTTCCGTATTTACAACGGCGGCAGTGCCAGCAAAAAGTCCGGCGCAGGGGTGAAGAGTGGACGGAAAGACGTTCGGGGAGAAAGATGTTCGAGCTCTACGGTGTCGGTAAGGATGGCATGGTCTACCGCTCGCCGCCCCCCAGGAGAAAGGAAGTCGACATCCTTTCGGAGGTAGGTAGGACGACGCGAGCCCGGCTAGAGTTCCCCTGTTAATTACGTCGAGGCGAGAGCTGCCACCTAATTGACCTGTCCACGGGTTCCGCGGGAAACCCCAGAGAACACCCGCTGAAATATTATTTACCGCCTGTAATTGATGACCGAGCTGTCCGCGCAATAATACATGGATGCTGCGACGCGTGTCACCCTTGGCTCGACTTTTCTTCTCGAGCGACACAGATCAAGCGTCGAGCTCGATTATACCACGTCCGAGATGTCACTTATTTTATTTGTCGACGTAATGGGAAAAGTTGGAAAGCAATTTCGAAGCGCTTCTTGTTAACCCTCGTCAAGTGACTTGATAATTATATTGTACACTATATTATTTACATTATTATTTACATTGTATTCTATATTTTTATTCTTCATTCGTGGATGTGCCAGCTTCTCCACAAGCACTAAGGCAGAGCTTGGTGTCTCTCTTCGGAAAAATAATGCATCTTATATGTCGATATTTAAATTTAAAGGAATTCCAGAGATGTAAGTGACCGTATCTGTATCTTGGATGAAAGAAAATCAAGACACCGAGCTGCGCGCGAAGGTCTGATCAGGGCTTCACGTTTCCGTTCAGTACATATCGTCAGGATTGTCAGACGCGCTCGGTTGGAAGATAAAAATCTGAAGATGTTTTTAATCATACGAAAGATGCGAGTTTCTGTTTAAAAATCAAATTTAAGTTGGCTAAGGGAGGGGAGGGGGCAATTTGCGCGAAGCTCTTGAAATGTTGATTCACCGCCGACCGTCATTTTTGCAACCGTCTGCGGAAAGTCTCCCAGGGATGTTTCATGCAAAGTAGTTTTCTATTTCTTCTCTCAAGGCAGACGTGTTTTTTCCTCGCGGCATGCGCGTCTTTCATAACTTACGAGCGCCGCTAATACCGGCGTAAACGCGACATTCGCGCAACGCGGATAATACACGGGGGATTATGCAATCGTTTGCAATCTTGGGATTTAATTTACGGAGACGGTTGCCTCTCCGGTGGCTGGCACGGCAGCTTTGTAAATCGACGCACTTTTGCAGACCTGCCTGCAGCTCTCGTCGCCGGAATTCATGAGAAAATTGCCCAACGGCGATGCACTTCACCACATCAAGGACACGGGTGTCTCGACTTCCTTCAGCAAGGCTAAAGAACCACCAAGAGAGAGCAGTGAGTCCATATGAAAATCGTTATTGCACACGGGGTAAGATTGAGATTCCTGAAGAGAGTGGTTCATCGTCAAGTCGTATTTTGTCTGTCGATGCGAAAACTAAACTCGCGAGAAGTCACGAGTCCCGCAGGAAGAACTTTATATGAGAACCAAGCGTGAAAAATGTACAGTTTAATTAATTAATTAATTAATTTTATGATAAAGCGAATACTTAAGTTGGACAATTTATCTCAATCGAACAGCTGAGATCTTCTAATGTTAGATACACGTTTAAATGCAGGGTGGCTCATCAGGTTTTACCCCCCGTTTATGGAACACATTCCCGAAGCTGTTTCCCGCAAAATTTCCTTATAAACTTGCAGCCAATTTCGACCTTCTGTTGTGCAAATGAAATTTAAAAAGAAATCATGGACGCTTCTTAAAGTTTTGTAACGTTTTCTATTTAAATTCCAAAAGTACTGTTTTCTTCTCCGATTTTTAAATTAGCACAACCTTTTAATTATAAATCCGTTGTATATTTTGTTGCTCCAAATGATCTCCGAAGTAGCCTCCCCCAAGAGAAGGTGAAACTTCGCGAATCTCTGTATACGATTTGAGTTCTATACCTATACCGTATTATACTCGCGCGTCTGACAGCAATTATAATTGTTACCATCAGCGCGAGTAACGGCTGGCAAAGTGTTAAATCAGATCATCACGGATTTAATTCATCGCGTCGCGCTCGATCGCCGAGCACTTTCTCGATTATCCCATCATCCCCGGTCGGTTTCCGATGACCGAACGCGACAGCTTCGACAGTTTCTTTCTCTTCTCCAATTTCGCACGTCAACGAGCCCACTTATGTAAAAGCCCACCGCGAGCGAAGGGAAGGAAAAGCCGTCGCGCGACGAGAGGCGACGAGCGTGGCGAGACGCAGCCGAGTGACGGTCCCGCGATTTGATATGATTTCTATTCACGGCTCGGCGATCCTCTCGATCGCGGATCCGAGTTTCGGTCACGGCGATTTCACGTACGGATAAGTACGATCTACGCTCGGCTGGTCTCTTCCCGATCTCCCTCGAGATGATTCCGCTGTGGTCGTCCCGCCGGCGGTTTCCGTTACAAAGGGCTGTTTTTGAGCTTGTGTATGAATTACATATATTTTATTTTATACAAATAATACTAAATAAAATATATGTATATAAAATATAATACACACATTTAATTATACATGTAACGATCGAGTTATTCTTCGTTTGGTTTTTGTCGTTTGGTGTTTCGATATAACGTTTTTCCCAGTAAATTCATGCGAAATCATTTTAAATGTTGTAAGTGAAACTTATATGTCAGCGGTCATGCGGTTAAAATTGTACATGACCAGAACGCGAAAGTCTAAGGTGTTAAAAATTAACACATTCCTCAGATATCTCTTTCTATGGATGACGTTTGCGATTGTATTTGCTTGTCGATGAAATCAGAAAGAGATCTACGAATTTGATTTGCAATCTTCGATTAAATTGACTAATCGATTAGATTGAATTTTGATATCGGACAATGTTGCAGGAGGCAGTGCCGTGAGAAGATGGATGGTGATGACTGGATTCTTCTTCCTCGGGTGCGCCCTGGTAGCCGGCGTGGGACTGCCTCTCGCCTTGGAACTTCGAAGCTCTCATCTGCTGGAAGCAAGGTTGCAGGTGGTCCGAAGAATGCTCTCGGAGATTCCGCTGATCGATGGGTAACAGTTGTGCCTTGTATATAAACTAGCAGAGGATAGACTCCACTTTGAATTAAAATAGATCGCTAAAAATAATCTGCTACGATTTAAAACTCGAAAGAGTTCACGCCTCGGTGTCAAAACCTTGAAGTAAAAGGGTCTACGACCTATTCGGATCTTTATTTAAAAGCGGCAAATAGTAGAATATACCATAGTATGTAGAACATACCGTCGCTCGGAGTTGTATTCTGTATTAATCGTGTCGCCCGAAAATTGTTCATCAGGCACAACGACTTCGCTTGGAATCTGCGCAAGCACCGCGGCAGCACGAAGCTGGATAACTTCCCCTTCGACGAGGATCTGTCGCACAACAGCAGCTGGGGCCCGCAGTGGCAGACCGATCTGATCCGCCTGGAGCAGGGGATCGTCGGGGCGCAATTCTGGTCGGCCTACGTGCCGTGCGAGGCGCAGTTCCTCGACGCCGTGCAGCTCACCCTCGAGCAGATCGACATCGTGCGCCGGCTCACGTCGCGCTACCCCAAGCGCGTCCGGCTGGTGACGACGAGCGGCGAGCTGGAGAACGCGCACCGGGACGGGGTGATCGCCAGCCTGGTGGGGATAGAGGGTGGCCACAGCATCGGCACCTCCATGGCGGTGCTGAGGAGCTTCCACCGGCTGGGCGCGCGCTACATGACCCTGACCCACAAGTGCAACACTCCGTGGTAAGTTTGACCGCCGCGCCGGGGGAAGATTAACGTCTCTACGATCGCGAGACGCGCGCACATGAGCGTCGCGCTGTTATGACAGCGGAAAGGAATGAACCTTGGACAAGCAAATTGGTATCTAGTACTAGCTAATGTTTGCTTTCACATCGCGTGGTTTATATTTACATTAATCGCTCGAAGAGTCAGATAAGTCCCTGCGAGTTTATTACATCTTGTACACCGAGGGATTAGCTTTAAGTACAAATAACTGACATATTGGCTCCGCCGGAAAGGAAGTTGCCGCAAACTTGGCGTCCGCGCTCGAAAATCTTGAAACTGCATTTCTTCTAGATTGGATTTTCCGTCTGTAGCGCCTGTCTCGAATCGATTTCGATTTCCAGGGCGGACTCGTGCTCCGTAGATGATCCGAGCTCGGACGCGCCCTCCGATTTCCACAGCGATGGCCTCTCGCCGTTCGGTAAGGCGGTCGTCCTGGAGCTAAATCGGCTCGGTATGCTCGTGGATCTCTCTCACGTCTCGGTGAGAACGATGAGGGACGCCCTCGCCGTGACAAAGGCGCCCGTTATATTCTCGCACAGCGCCGCCAAGGCTCTCTGCAACTCCTCGAGCAACGTCCCAGATGATGTACTGCGGAATTTGGTAAGGAAGGGAAAACCTCCCCTGGAATGTTTGCTCGCATGGATGACTGTTGACACGCTGCCCCCAAGCCGCTGCGATAAACAAAGAACAAACAATGGGTCGGAAATGAATCATTGAACAGCTCTCGATTGAGCTTCGATTTTTACATTTTAATTTCAAGGAATCAATTTTCTCCGAATGTAATTTTGTAAGCTGGGCGTTATTTGTCTAAATATTAATTTTTAATTATCTCGCGGAGTCGAGAAATTATACAGTGTTTATCGCGGTGACACGATATTTGCCCGAGGATTAATCGCGTGGTCTTCATTTCTGCTTCCTCTAGTCCCTCAACGGTGGTCTGGTTATGGTCAGCTTCGACAGCGCGCATTTAAGCTGCGGCGATAAGGCCTCGATGTACGATATCATAGGTGTGTAAGTAGCGCGGTGTGAGAACCATCAAAAAGGAGATTGAGAGAGTCGAAATCAAAAACTCCGAGATAAGGAACGGGTGAGATAGACACAACGTCTCTTTTTACAGCTCACATCAATCACATCAGACGAACAGCTGGCGTGAACCATGTGGGCCTCGGTGCGGGCTACGACGGGATACTAAGGTAGTTGAAGACGCGCCAGCATCGCTGTATCTTTATTATGCGCGCCGCTAATGCATGTTTGCGGAAATACATTACACAACGCGATTACTTTCCAGTAACTTTCTGAACAACAGCTCTGACAACTCGTATTCATTAATTTTTTTCTCCGCGACTGAAGCTCTCAAAGTACATCTTTGTGATTAATAATTTGTAACAATTGATAACGTCGCTAACTTTTACTAATTTCAAATCAACAAGATATTAGTTTAGTCTGTTTCGAAGAAATGAATATACATTCGGTAAAACATTCTGCGCTTCCGCGCATAAAAATAACTATCCGATTGCTCAAGCCTCTACCATCTGTGTCTACGAAACTCGCATTCACGTTTGCCTGTACAATGACAGAATAATCATTTTTTTCTATCTATTTAGACGTAGATCCAAAATATTATGCAAAAAGAAATTATTATTTTACTTTACTGTGTAATGTACTTTTGTACACAGCCCGATGGATCTAAGCGATAAAAGGATTGAAAGACACATTTGCACTTATTCAGGCCGCCGACGGAATTGCCAGACGTTTCTGGCTACCCCTTGCTGCTGGCCGAGCTGACCAGAGACCGTAGATGGTCCGCGATCGATATAAAGAAACTTGTGGGCGGAAATTTGCTGCGCGTCCTCAAGGAGGTGGAGGAACACGCCGCGACTCTGTCGCATCAGTTCCCAGCGGAAGAGTGGATTCCGCAGGAGCTCATCGAGGACAGCGCCTACTGCAGATACCACGACACGTAGGGATCAACTCTTTCGCTCTCGTTTTCGTCATTGACGTCGCTATTTGATTTTCACGAGGTGTTCTCTAACGAAATAGGCACGCCGTGTCATATTTGTACCTGGAGTGCTCCAACTGTTTTACATTTTTAATAAAGTAGCGGTAGACTCTCTCCGCGTGCTTTGTTAAAACTCCTCGTCTTCTTCATCCCACACAGCCGGTACGATTATAAGTGAAAAATTATCTCTTTCCTCATCTGGACTCCTCTCTCATTGGATGCATTACGATTCATCTGACGTTGAGCTACTCCTTTTCCAGGAGGTTGTCTTTCCTGGAAGTAGACCGCGTGTAAAATGATTTATTTATCGGTTAGTATTCATCATCAATATACCTGTGTATATTCGTGTATATCTAATTCATTCCGTATGATTTTTCCTTTTTGAAACAGTTTTACGAGCAGCCCAGTTGCGTCACGTTCAATTGCGATTATGGTCAAAATGGACGTTAGCAGTTAAGTCAATTTACTTTGTCTTGTGCCTGCTCTCCGTGTCCACCATCACATAATATATGTTGAAGCAATTATTTAATCTCGCGCACGCATCCATACGCACGGGTGCATACGACGCTGCAGCTAACAGAGGCAGACAAGTCGCAGTATGTCAATTACACCGTTTAATATTTAACTTATATTTCAATCGGAGACGGCGCCGTAAATAATCAGGCTTGATCTGCCATCTGAATCCCGCGCGGCTCTCTAAGGACAACAAATAAGTTTCGGAAGCTTTGAAGTTGCTTAAACAATTCACGTCTGAATGTGGAATGGAGTTGTTTCGATAAGATTATCAATAGTGTCTCTTTCTCTCTTCGTGTATACTGATTGATAATTAATTTCAAATCATGACGACAGGGAAAAGAGAGAAATTTGTGCGACTTCGGCGTTGTAATTCGCGCTGTAATTCGCTCTGTCGTTCTTCGCAACTCAAACGGGCAGAAAGTAAAGAAAGTCGCTTATCGCACATTGTTACATTATGTAAATGTAATCGAAAATTATCTCGATTAACTGTTGCAATTAATAACAACTATTTATCGCTGGAAACTTTGCTCACATAATTTATTTCGAGGATTAGATTGAATGGCAAAGATTGTAAAATATCGTTTCGTTGCGGACTAATAACTAATTCTTTATCGCAGATTATGCTTTCGATGCTCGCGTTGCGTTTTGTATCGCCAATTCAAAAGTGTTTTTATCCATTATCCTATTGTTCCGAATTAAAAATGCAAGTTGTTAGATTGAGTAATTTGTATCATAGAAAGCCACGCGATATTTGTCAATAATATTTGGTGTGTTCCGCGGTATTTTACATCGCGTACGGGAGTGTCCGAAATTTCGCGCGATCGGTGATTATCGCGAATGAGTGTTGTGTGAGTGCCACAAGGAAATCTGAGAGGAGGAGGAGGCCAAGAAGGCATCGGGCAACTACGGAGAAATGGTGAGGTAAGTGTCTTACATTCTTATGTCATTTGCTACTTGTGCAAAATAAAGCATCTGTTCTGTGGTTTTATTTTATTTATTCAAACGATTCGAACGAGGATTCAAATAAGTGCTAGAGACAAAACCATACATATAAAATTTTGTGAGTTTATATTTAAAAGAAAGACTTTTTCAGTATTCTATATAATTATTTTAATAAATACCTATTTAAAAAAAATTTTAAATATAAAGTTTATTTAATACAATAATTTTGATTTTACACAATTAATATATAATAATCATATACATATTTGTATTGTTACAGTTTAACATATACAGTTAACGATGTACAACTCTGCTGTTGCAACTCGTATCAGTGAGTGATAAATTATTTTTTTACTTTAAATTGACGTTGCGTCTACTACTTCCTTGCATGTGTACAAATTCTTAAAAATATACATACTGAACTAGAAACTGCGCGCGCGAAGCGCGCGTTTTGTCATTTCTAGTCTTATTTTATTCTACAGTTGTACGGAGTGACTTATTTATAGCAGAGTAATCCAGAGTCTCCCCAAAAAGGTATGAAAATGAGTTTAGATTTTTATTTTCCGAAAGGTGTTAGACTGCCAGAAAATAATTTATTCCTACAATTTAGACAGATATTAAACATTGCTAAAAACACAACTAAAAACAGCAAGTACATTCTAGCAAAATCTGTCGGTCTAACCAATATTAATCATTTTCTTTATAAGCTATTCCACTAAAGCGAATGCTATTAAATGGTTTTGCTGACGGAACGATAACTCTCTCGACACGATGAAATCTATTTGGTATAATTCGAGAGCATCGCAAACAAGGTATAAAATTAAAGCGAAGCTCAGTAAGCGTGACTCTGTTTCAGAACGGAGAGCCACGTACCTTATCTCAATCTTTTAACGATGTATTAACTGAAATTCGAGAATTAACCAGACACACGGTTTTATGTCAGTCACGCGCATCCTCCGGGTCTTAAGAGGCTGACAAGAAATTGTTGCCTTAACTTTCTACGACAGATAAGAACAAATTAATTCTAATAAGATACTCCGCGACGTAGCCGCGCTAGTTCTTACATTTTTCAGAAATCTGTGAAAGTGCTGCATTGATACACCACAGCACGCATCGAGCTTTCGCCTTCGTCGCTGTTAACTTGCTCTCGCGATGTGGGTCACGTGCACCGCAACACAGGTAATATTTTTGCACTACATTTGCTTCTGAAAAACAACCGCTGAGGGATCATCCGATTACTTTCCTCTCTCGTTGCCCAATAATGCACTCGTAAGCGGCTTCGACGAAGCGCATCGAGCCGAGTTTTGGGTCTTGTTGACAGGAAGGTTAAATAATTTGCTCGGTTACATTTCGTAATCGTTCTTTTCGCTCGTTTAATCGTCATCCCCCAATCGATTATGTCGAAACCAGAATAAAAGAGCGATTGAGTGTTATTTCCTGACACTGACATAAGATCTCTTAAACCGCAGCTTTTTTGGGTCTCTTCTCTCGGCAAGTCCGTGATCAGAGTTGCAAGTTGATGGAACGGAAAAATGTGTGTGTTGAACTGTCGACAGTCTACGGCTGCGGTCAAGCTGTCGCTTCAAATGTTTCGACGTATCCCTAGTAGCACATTATATTGGCGCAATATTGGGAAGCAACCCAGAGAACATGCATGTCTTTTAGACATGCATATTCTCTGGAAATGTAAATCAGTATTCTCAATATTGTGAGATGGCCGCCTTCTCTTAGCCGATATGCCTATTTAGCAATATTGGTCTGATATTGTATCAATTTTAGACCAATATTCTTATTACATTGTTAAATATTGGCCAATATTGGCTTTACATTGGGCAACATCAGGGTTGGAAGTTACTTTATAAAAGTATCTAGTTACAGTTACAACTTACCAATTCTGAAAAGTCACGTCACAGTTACAGTTTCTCAAAAAGCAACGAATCGTTACCTTTTTGCGACGAAAATAAAAGTATCAAATCTGCATTTGAATTGTAAAGCATCGATAAAGGCGTTTATGCGCAAACGCATGGCCTAGTGCAATCTCTGGAGGTTTAAAAAATAAAGTAACAAAGTTGCAGTTACACAGACGGAGAACAGTTACCAAGGTAAAGTAACTGTAACCGTAACTTCATTACAAGCAACGAGTTACTTCCCAACCCTGATGTCGGCCAGTGCATATCTAATCTAAACAGACATTGGGCCAATGTTTAGCCAATGCACTGTGCTACTGGGGATTCTTCTTCTCATTTTCTTTCAGAAAAGCTAGGAGAAGAGAACGAGTGTCGAACAGCGCGATATCATTTATGAATTCACGTGGCCGCGGCGTTTACCGCAGGGCACGGACATGTAATTCCCGTGACCGCTTCAACGGACCGAGACCGTTTCCAGCCGCCCGCGCGGACTCGCCGGCTTCGTCGGCGCGACCGTCCACGCGACCCACGTTCGCGAGCCGCCGCGGATACGAGGATGCCGCGTGCTAGCCCGACGCGACCCACGCGCTCGCGAGGCCGAGGGGAGCGCACGGCCGGGTCAAAGAGGCCAAGATAAATTGCAATCTAATCCGCGGGAGTAAAGCCGGGGGCCAATTACGATTCGTTGCGCGTCCGCAGGAAGAGAGGAGTGGCGCCGTGGCCGGGGCACGGCGCGCTGCTGCGCACCTCCCGCCTTCGAGGCCTTGCGGCAAATGCTGGCGGACGCTAAAATCCGCGTCTCTTTTAAAACGCGCCGCCGAGGAAACGCCGAGGATCTACGACGTCGACCGATCAGGATCGACGGCGACGATGTGCGCCCGTCGTCGGGTGCCCGCTCTCGGCTTGGGATTTCAAAGTTTCTGCCGACAGGAAACAGCTTTGCTTTAAATCCAGATTTTTTTTTCGACGACTATTAGATCGATGAGATTGGATAGATTATTCGATGGAGGTCAATGCTAAGAGCCTGCACTTGGGCCCGTATTCTGAATCCTCTTTTATCGATAAAAACGCCCCTAAAAGTGGCTTGTAGCCAATCAGAAGGCTTATTAGCCACCTTTAGAGGCGCTTTTATTGATAAAATAGGGTTCGGAATACGGGCCTTAGGATTTTACGGTCAATCATTGATATGTTAATATTTACAAAAACAAGATTATATCGTAAGAATCAGGAAATACGGTAAAATTGAATGAATCGAATGGAGGAATTTCTCAAAGATTTAGAAATTTATTTTTGACAAGTGCAATTTCTTCACGTTGTAGTAAAATTGACAAGTTTGAAACAGTCGTGATCGGACGTACACTGACAAAAAAGATTTTTTAACTAAGCAAATAGATTTACTTAAAAACGTCGTTTTTTACTGAAGTAAATCTATGTTATTATATTGGGTGAATAAATTTAAATCATTACAGTCTACATTCAAATAAAGATTTCATGAGATACAGAATACTATGTATTGAATGAAACAATTGGTTTGGTTAAATGAGAAACCCAAGTTTCTTCGCTGTGAGGTTACATCTTGGTAAACATTTTGTAGAATGAAAATAACTTTTTTTTTCTTTTAAATTATCTACTCCTGATACTTGATAAATACTTAAATTAAAGAAATGCACGTTTTAATTTATTATGTGCTTTTAAATTTCAGATAATAAGCTATTAGGAGCGACCTAATGAATAATCTTCTTGAGTAAAGTAACATTTTTTTGGATCG